GAGAGAGTGAGAGAGAGGGGGACAGAGAGAAAGAGAGAGAGAATTTTTAATATTTATTTTTTCTTAGTTCTCGGCGGACACAACATCTTCGTTTGTATGTGGTGCTGAGGATCGAACCCGGGCCGCACGCACGCTAGGCGAGCGCTCTACCGCATGAGCCACATCCCCAGCCCCTGATGTTAGTTTCAGTATCCTCTGTTATTCCCTTACTAGTGCTGTGCTTTGTTCAGTTTATACACTACAAATTTTAAAAATCATCAACTGGTGGCTCTTATTTACTAAACCATTTTCTCCCATAAATAATACATTCAAAGAAAATGTCCTCATCTGTGCAAATTAAGAGGAAACGCTCAACAAATATTTTTCTGAACTTTCAGCTCACCTTTTAAAAGTAGTATCCCAAGGACTTAAGTTTATAATAAAGATAACATACAACACCTGAACATTTTTGTTTAATTCTTCAGCACAGTGACTCATTCACTATGACCAGTGCTAAATCACTGTGCTAGTGCTAATCAAGTAGTTTTAGCAGTTTCCTTAACAGTTACCTGGTTCATCTTGGGTCTGTTCACCTGTGGTTATTTCCTGAAAGAGGAAAAGATAGGGAACATCTGAAGTATTTTCCCCAAACACATGCACTGTCTCTCAAGAAGTACTACATTTTATAGATCTTTCTATACCTTTAGTTATAATAATATTTTAAATTTATGATTATTCATAATATTTCATAAACAAGAAGAAAATAATAGCAAATTCTTTTCTCTCTTGCTTCTAATTTTACCTCTTCTTAAATGTAAATTTTAACTCTAATCATACTGCTATGTACACTTAACCATTTCTACTTTTTTACTTTTATAATCCTTCAAGTCCAGTCAAATCTGTTACTAGCTTTTACTGAAATCTGAAGAACATCACAAATTTTTTACACTACTAGGTGGCTTAAAACTTGGATATAGATGGCATAAAGCTCAGTGGATGGATCAGCCTAATATATTAAAAATCTAGTTTGGCATTTCTTTTGGCTTTGTCCAAACCATTGAAACAGTTTAAACTAAATTACTGCAATGAATGCAATTGACCTTCATAACACACTTGTCATCTAATTGTGAAAAACAACTTGTGTTTATCATGCAAAAAAGTTCAATCCTCAGTACCACCAAAAAAAAAAAGAAAAAATTAATAAATTGAGAAATTACAGGATCCATTTTAAGAGCAATACCATGAAGAGCTCCATTGATCCATTCCCCAGTAAAACTGGTGAAAATAACATAAAAAAGCAAAGCATTTAAAGCCTCTGAATGGCCCTAAAAACAAAAGGTGAATGTGAAGAAACATCGATTCAAGATCTATAAAAATTTATTTATAAATAAAGGCAAGCATTTATGTGAATCTTGGGTGCTCTCTCCTCGTTTTCGCAGTTCTCATGATAGAGATGGCACCTCAGACTGCTACAGCCAAGAAAACAGAGCCCCTCTCCCATTGGTCCCAGCTGGAAAGCTTTCTTCCCAAGGGGAGCAGGACTTCCAACATTACAAGACAACCACATAAATATGGACATAGAAACCTTCAATAAAATAATAAACTGAATCCAGCAACAAATAAAAATGACACATCATAACTAAACATGTTTTATCCCAGGAAATTTAGGTTGACTTAACATCCCAAAATCAATGTAATACAACTTATCAATATAATAAAAGAAAAATCATACAATCATCTCAATGGATAACAGAAAAAAATATATGATAAATTCTACCATCCTTTACATGATAAAACACACAAAAGGCTAGAAATAGAAGAAGGGAATTTCCTCAACCTAATAAAGAGCATCTAGGAAAACCCACAGCTAACATTATTCTTCAGTGAAAAACTGGATGCTTTCCCCAAAAACCAAGACCAAGTCAAGAATGTCCACTCTTAAACCAGGTATAGTGACATCTACCTATAATCCCAGGGATGTGGGAAGCTGAGGCAGGAGGATCACAAATTTGAGGCCAGCCTCAGCAACTTAGTGAGACCCTCCTCAACAAATAAAAAGGAGTGAGGATGTAGCTTAGTGGTAAAGGACCCCCAGCTTAAATCTCAAGTATAGACTTTAAAAAAAAAAAAAAAGAATGTCCACTCTCTAAGAAACATTTAACTAGAGGTTCTACTCAGGGAAATTAGGCAAGAAAAAGAAACAGCATTCAGATCAAAGAGTGTTGCAGACTGAATTGTGTTCCCCCCAAAAATATGTCACCCTTATTCCAATATATCTGGTGTCCTTATAAGAAGATGAGAAAAGACACAGACACATAAAAAGGGAAAATGCCGTGTGGTATTGGAGGCAGAGAATGGAATTATGCTGCTCAAATCATGAAACGACAAGCACTGCCAATAACAACCACCACTGAGGGGCTGGGGATGTGGCTCAAGCGGTAGCGCGCTCGCCTGGCATGCGTGTGGTGCGGCCCGGGTTCGATCCTCGGCACCACATACAAACAAAGATGTTGTTGTGTCCGCCAAAAACTAAAAAATAAATATTAAAAATCCTCTCCCTCTCTCTCCCGCTCTATCTCTCGCTCTCTTTAAAAAAAAAAAAAAAACAACCACCATGGAAATCATGAAATGATTTCCCCCTCAGAGCCTCCAGAAAGAATCAATACACTGTGATTTGGGGCTTCCTTCTAAACTTCAGAACCTTGAGAGAAAAATTTCTGTGGCTTTGAGCCACTTCAGTTTGTGGTGCTTTGTTACAGTTGCCTAGAAAACTAGTATAGAAAGCATGAAGTAAAACTAACTGTATTTGCAGATTATTTGATTTTGTACAGAGAAGATACTAAGACATCCACTGAAAAATGAGTTTAGCAAAGTTGCAGGATACAAGATCAATATATAAAAATCAATTATGTTTCAATATACTTGCAACAATCCAAAAGTGAAATTAAGAACACAGTTCCAATCACAATAATGGTAAAAATAATAGCACACTTGGAAATAAATTTAGCAAGGAAGTGCAAAGCTCACATTCTAAAACTACAAGCCATTTTTGAAAGAAATCAAAGAAGTTCTAAATAAATAGGAGGACTATGGGTGTAGCTCAGTGGTAGAGCTACAATGGTGGGTGGAATGCTTGTAGTATGCATGAAGTCCTGGATTCAATCTTCCAAAAAAGGAATATACGCCATGTCCATGGACTGAGAGTCAACATGGTTAAGGCTGCAACTTCTTCCCAAAGATCTATAAATACAATGAAATTCCAAACATAATCCCACCTGACTTCTTTGTAGAAACTAACAATTTAAAAATTCATATGGAATTAAAGGGACTCAGCCAAAATAATTCTGACAATAAAAAAATATTTATTGTATTTATTATTGCACTTCTCAACTACAAAACTTAGTACAAAGCAACAATAATCAATGTAGCATCACAAACCTAAGGATAGCTATGGGTCAATGGAAAAGAATTAACAGTCCCAAAATAAACCCATATATCTATTATAAACTGATTTTTGACAAGGATGCTGGGATCATTCAATGAAGTCTCTTCAAACAAATGGTGCTAGGGCAACTGAATAGTCACATACAAGAAGGAAGTTGGATAAAAAGATTATCACAATATTTACAAAAATTAACTCAAGATAGATCAAAGACTTAAACTATAAAACTTTTAGAAGAAAAATAGTGGTAAACTTTTATGACTTTGGATTTGACAAAGGATTCTTGATATGACACCAAAAGCAAAAGCAACAACAACAACAAAATCAATCAGAAGCCAGGCACAGTGGTGTACACCTATAATCCCAGTGACTTGAGAGGCAGAGGCAGGAGGATCATAAGTTCAAAGCCAGCCTCAGCAACTAAGTGAGACCCTAAATAACTGAGCAAGATCCTGTCCCTAAATAAAACATAAAAAGGGTTGGGTATGTGGCTCAGAGGTTAAGAGCCTCTGGGTTCAATCCCTGGTACCAAAAAGAAGAAAAATAAAATCAATTAGACTTTCATCCAAAGTAGAAAGTTTTGTGCTTTAAGGCAAATAATCAAGAACATGAAAAGATAGCTCATAGAATGGAAGAAAATATCTATTAACCATACATCTGACAATGGAATTGTACCTAGACTATATAAAGAATTCTATGGGATGGGGATGTAACTCAGTGGTAGAGCAACTGCCTAGCATGTGTAAGGTCCCTGGTTTAATCCCCAGTAACACACACACACACACACACAAAAAAAAAAATAAAAATAAAAAAAAAAAAAAAAAAAATAAAAAAAAAAAAAAAAAAAACACAAACCTTAAAACCAATTAAAAGATCTGGGAGCTGGGGTTGTAGCTCAATGGTAGAGCAAGTACTTGCCTCACATGTATGAGGCACTAGGTTCAATCCTTAGCACCACATTATTATTTATGTATTTACAACTAAAAATTAAAAAATAAAAGTATAAAAGATCTAAATCAACATTTTCTCCAAAAAAAAAAACAAAAAAAAAAACTGATGGGCAATACACACATAAAAGATACTCAATATCATTAGTCATTAGGGAAATGCAAATCAAAACCATAAAGAGACAATACACTCCCAAGCATAGATCAAAAGAAGTCAAATAAGTGTTGGCAAAATGTGAATAAACGGGGACCTTTAAATACTGCTGATCATTATACAATATTATACTATTTCTATAAAATGTCCAGAATAAGAAAATCTATAGGTAAAAAGCAGATAATTGGCTGGCACAGTAATGCACATCTAACTACTTGGGGAGGCTGCGGCAAAAGAAGAGGATTACAAGTTCGAGTTCAGCAAGTTCTTTTTGAGATCCTATCTCAAAATAAAATATAAAAAAGGGCTGGGAATATTGCTCTAGGGTAAAGTGCCCTGGGTTCAATTCCTAGTACCAAAAAAATAGTTGGTAATTTGTTCCATAAGCGTATAGAGATTTGCAGGGGAAATAAGGAGTGACTACAAATGGATATGGAATTTGTTTTTGAGGTGATAAAAATATTCTAAAAATTGATTTGTCATACTTGCACAACTCTGTGAATATACTAAAAAAAAATCACTGAACAGAACACTTTCAATGGGTGAATTATACAATGTGTATATTATATATCATTAAAAGCATTTTCAAAAAGTTACAATTCCGTGCTGGGCCTGATGGCACACTGTAATCCCACCACCTTGGGAGGCTGAAGCAGAAGGATTGCTAGTTTGAGGCCAGCCTCAGCAACTTAGCAAGGCCCTCAGCAACTTAGTAGGACCCCGTTTAAGACAAAAAAAAAAAAAGTTGGATGTAACTCAGTGGTAAAGCACCAGGGTTCAATCCCTAGTGCCAAAAAAAAAAAAAAAAAGGACAATTCCAAGTGTTCATTTGCAAAAACAAGGTTAAATACTAAACATGGAAGAATGGCAAACAAAATGAAACTAAATATATTTTAAGTAATTTACATTTGACATAGATTTAATGCAATAGAATTTTCATATAAAAGTCTATCACTTATCAGCCTTTTGGCTAAGATCAACTGTAAAGTCAACAGGGACATTAAAAGCTCTTCTCTCTCTCTCTCTCTCTCTCTCTCTCTCTCTCTCTCTCTCTCTCTCTCTCTCTCTCTCACACACACACACACACACACACACACACACACAAGAAAATCAATGCTTTCCAAGTCAAATACAAAATCCACGACTATTCCCAAACTTTTACTATTTATACTAACAACTCCATACATGAGAGAAACAGCAAAGAACTGAAAACTTAAAGCAATCAAAGTAACCCTATAGTCTTTTGAAAGTAAACAAAGGACAAAAGACAAAACATTAACATGGATACTTACAAATGATGATGTATTCAAATTTTTTTCTTCTTTTACTTCCTGAGTAGATACATCTGTGTTTGAAAGCTCATGTTCAACAATAGTTACACATCCTATATCTGCAACATTCTCAGTTATTTCAAGCTGTCAAAATAAATGTTTTTATTATTTTCCACATGAACAAATAAAATTAAATTTCAAATAAAGGAAACAATTCACATTCACACAAAATTTAAAAAAAGAAATGTGATTCTAAAATCTGATTGATAGCAATTTGTCAAAAGTAAAACATTTAAAGTTTTTGAGAGGGCTGTGACTATTACAACTAGTAACCAAAAATTATAAGGCTTAATCATAGTGCCTGGCATTTCATTTCTCATCCTCCTCACCCTGCCCCTATTTTTCCCCAATTTCTTCCATTTGTTAACATTTATGAAGTGCTTCCTAAAAACCAGAGGGATATGGGCATAGAGGCGCAAACCAAATAAGGCACATTTGGTCTCTGCCTTCAATAACTCACAATATACGAGAAACACAGTAATAAATGAACTATACAGTGTCATAAATGCTATAATAGAGAGGAGTTAAAGTGCTTTAAAAGACTGATCATCACCTCATCCCCAGTACAACAATCTTTTCCCAAAGTCCCAAAGCCTACACGATTCTTGACACCCATGGAAATGGGTTCACTCACAGTTATTCTCATGTGGCAGCCCTACTAGTCAAAGAGCCCCTATGATCAGAGTTTAAAAAGACACTAATATAATCTCCTAAAATATATACCTACAGTATGGCTCCTATTCCCTTATTAACAGAAAGATAAATGCTGCACCCCTCCCCTGACTCAGGCAATGGCAAGGCCCTACTGAGGTGGATGGTGCAAGGCGTCCATCTTCTGGAGGAGTGCAGTATGTTTCTGGGAATGGGCTGGTTTGTTTTTGTATTCCTTTAATAAGTATAGTTGCGATTTCTCATATGACCATTAAGTATGAAGGAAAAAACATGACTTTCCCAATTAATGCAACTACTTCTAAAGCATAGATCTGTTTGCTCTGAATACAATGATTCAGCTGTGGAGCATAAATTGTTAATGTCTAATGAAAACTCCCTGTATTCCTGTCAAGGAAGTTTATGAGAAATTAAATTAAATCTAGAGAAGAAGAATTAATGTTAAGAAGACAGATTAGTGCTTAGTACTGGGCAACTTGTTCTTATTCCTGTGCTCTTACTCTTGTTTGATTAAAATTAATAACAAGTTAACCACTTGCCGTAACCATGGCACCGGTTCCAGTCAGTAAGTCAAGAAAGAATAGTCAAGGTATAGGCCAATAGTTGGGACATTTCTAACTATTATTAAAAGTTAACTAAACAGAAACAGCTCAAAGCAAAACATGAACTGAAAGGAAAAATGCTTGCTTATACATAAGCCAAGATACATTCTTCTATTATAATTGTCGATACCTAATATTTTGTTTCTTTGAATAATGATTCCTGTTTTGTAACCACAAAGTACTGTGAGCCTGCCAAAATGAAAAGTATATATGATCAACTTCACAAGTAAAGACTGGGATCAGCACCTTCACTTTGGTGTCTGTGTTGTTTCCCCACCCCCATTTCGGTGACTTCTCACCATCTGTGAGGACCCCCTGTTGGAGCTGGACTCCGAGATAAGTATAAAGCACTATGTGATTCAATAGAATGTATGAGTATAGAAATGAAGTCTGAGAATCTGTCTTCAAGATGTAGTTACTAGGGCTGAGGTTGTGGCTCAGTGGTAGAGCGCTTGCCTAGCATGTGTGAGGCACTGTGTTCAATCCTCACCACCACATAAAAAAATAAAAAAGCAAATAAAGTTATAAAAAAATGTTTATTTATTTTTTTTTTTTTTT